CCCCAAAACCCCAAAACCCCAAAACCCCATGAATTAGAATACTTATGTTATTAGAAAATTAAGTAAATCAAGATTAATGTATTTACAAAAAAGTGATTTAATGAAATAGAGTTAAGTTGGTTTGCTGACAGAGGATCTCACTGCTGTTGGAAGTATTGCATCTCCTGAAATTAATACTCGTTAACAATACAACATAGATACACCATTCAATCAATGGAGTTTCTTAGCTTTCGGGATAGCGTTGCTTTTACCTTGGAATGCTGTGATTGCTGCTATGGACTACTTTGTTACAATATACCCTGATCAAAAGCCTTCTTTTACTTTCTTAGTCGCTGTGAGTGTTCCAATGCTTATAATGTAGATCTTTTGTAATTTATTAAGAGGGTAAATATCTCTGAGAGTCAGTCTAACTTCAGCACTTTTCATTAATGGTTCTCTAACATTGCTGACTGCAATAATTCCCTAAGTAATTTCTGATTAAAATACTAGCTACTATATTATGCTTGTGGTTGTATTTATTTTTGGATGCATGATTGCTTTTCTTCAAACTGCATGCTATGGAGTAGCCGGAGTCTCAATGAAGCTCACTACATAATTGATGGTTGGAGTGGGATTAAGTAGCATAATAATGAATGTGTTAAGAATGATTTTCTTGGCTACAGTTTAGAGCTATGCTGCTGGTTAAATTGTATTTTTCTCGATTTCTGGAGCTTACATGTACCTTTGCTCTTTCCTATCTGTTATATTCTTGAGAAGCTATGAGAGGAATTAATTCTTAAATGATACTGAACAGATAAATAACTCTGAGCTTAAGCAGGGACCAAATACTGGGGATAAAAGCATGATTAAAAGGTTATGGAAAGTTTATAAGATAAACTACCCAGCTGGGCTCTCAGTTGTACTCACATTCGCAATTTAATATACTTATTTCCCAGGTGTGATGCTTATTAAGGAATTAAGTTTCTTCACTAACTTTGCATGGTTTGCAAGTATTCTAATCACTTTTCACAATATATGCGATACTATCGGAAGAACTCTAGCCGGTAAATATATAATTGTCAGCAAATAAATGTATCCATATGTCTGCCTAGTAAGGCTGATATTTATAGTTACATATACACTATTCTACAAAGGAGTGGCTCCTGGATTCTTTTAAAGTGATGCTTTTGTTATAGTTAATCTTTTTCTTTTCTCAATATCTTGTGGGTATTTAGCTTCAATCGGAATGTATTATGGAAGTGATAAAGAGTGTGGGGATCAAGGATTAGCTGGATCTATCATGGGATTTAATTTAACTTTAGGAATATGCCTAGGAAGTTTATTTGCTATCACATTATACTCATGAGAGTTTGAGATTACATCTCAGTCAATCAATAAATACTAGAAATTATTAAAGTAAATTATCAGTTATCCTTTAAAATAATTCAATTAAAGTCAATTAGGGGTTTTGGGGTTTTGGGGTTTTG